TCGCGAAGTTCAGAGTCTATCTCTTAGGAGATATACCCTTCATTGTTTACACTGACCATGCGTCATTACGCACGGCAGTGAACAGCCCGCACCTTTCACAACGAATGGCGCGGTGGTTGTCATTCTTTGCAGAATACAACTTTACGGTCGAGTACAAACCAGGACGACTTAATGTCATCGCTGATGCACTCTCACGTCGTCCCGACTTTGAACCAGTCGCGAAACCCAACAGTGAGACAGTCACTGTTGCGGTTATGACGTCCTCAGTCCCATCTACAACGTTGTATGATGATGTGAGGCGGGCATACGCCCAAGATGGTGAGATAGTGAAGTTGTTGACACATCTCTCCCAACCATCTCGAGAATCGTTGAAACGATTGTCGTCTGCGTATCGATCTGCATCAGATCGATACACTACTAGTAACGGTTTACTGTATTATACAGCCGTTTCTGGTGACACACCACGTGTTGTCATTCCAGATGATACTGATCTGCGTTTGCGGATCATGTTCGAGTACCATGATGCTCCTATAGGAGGACATCGTGGCCGAGAGAAAACATATCTCACGGTAAGTCGAGACTTTTACTGGCCCCGCCAGTATCAGTTTGTGCGAAAGTATGTTCGCGCATGCGAAGTCTGCCAACGAGTGAAGTCAAGTCCTTCACTGCGTGCACCTTTACAGCCTCTACCGGTTCCGGCTGAGTGCTGGGAATCCATCTCAATGGATTTCGTCTTCGGGTTACCCAAAGACGCACGCGGGAATACGGGTATTCTCGTATTTGTTGACAGATTCAGCAAAATGGTACACCTTGTGGCTGTACCAGAGACAATCACGGCAAGTGGCTGTGCTTGTGTCTTTATTGACACCATCTTCCGACTTCATGGGTTGCCCCGTGAACTTGTATCAGACAGAGATCCACGATTCACTGCTGATTTCTGGCGTTCCGTGTTCAAATCACTCGGAACGCGCTTGAAGATGTCGACATCTGATCATCCAGAGTCAGATGGTCAGACGGAACGTGCCAATCGTGTCCTTGAAGAGATACTTCGAGGATACGTACACTCCTTTAAGAGTTGGAGTGGGTTTTTGCCAATGGTAGAGTTTGCCATCAACAACTCGGTGCATGCGTCCACGACACATACACCGTTTTACGTGAATGGCTTGCGCCATCCGCGTGTACCCACCTTACTAGAGTGTAACTCTGGTTTAAAGGGGGAGGGACTCGCGCGAGCAAAAACCGAATTGGTTCACGCTCATCACGCTCTGACGAAGAAGTCATTGCGTTTGATGCCGATATCGATAACATCGATATCGAAGAAGATGATGCCAGTGAGAGTGCGGAAGCCCTCACTGAAGAAAAGGTTGATGTTGCTGCAGTGCGCTCACAGCGCACTGAAGATAACGAGTCATCAGATGAGTTCATGCTGGCTCGTGAAACGGTAATATGTTTTGTGCAAGATTCCATCTCCGAAGCGGTGGATAAGCAAAAGCAAAACGCTGACAAGAATGGAAGGGCAAACACTCTTTTATTTAATAAAGGTGACTTAGTCCTACTATCTACGGTTAATCTACCAAAGCATGTAGTGACTAACTTGGGTAGTAGTAAACTACTACCCAAGTACATCGGCCCGTTTCGTGTATTGCACCGCCTAGGCAATGCATACACGATCGAGTTACCACGTAAGATGCGAACACATCCCACGTTTTACGTTGGTCGGCTTAAGCCGTACCATCAGTACGCTGCTTCTTTCGATGAAGAACGCCCTTGCGCTCAAGCATCTCGCAGAGAGCCTTGTGCTCCCCATGGTGGGCATCGACAAGGGTCTGAAGAGCAGTAATCTCATCCCGAGGCCGATCAACAATCCCACGAGCTACCCTTAGCTCTTCACGAAGAGATGTCAGAGCTCTCTCGTTCTCAAGCTGAGCAAAGGCAAACTCAGCTCGATGCTCCGAGACAGTGTCGGCCATTTGGAGACGCCTGTCCCGCTCATGTTCGAGATCGTTGCGTAACTCTTGCGTTACGCGATCAAAGAAGCTCTCGGGAACACACGGATCCCCATGATCGTGTGGAGAGCGTCTTTCCTCCTCCTCCACCTCCATTAGAGGACTCTCGCGGTGGCCAGCGCTATCTAGTTGAGCAGCTGTTGAACCACCGCGACGTGAACGGACGTCGGACGAGTTATCTCGTCCGGTGGCGCGGCTATCCCCCGTCCTGGGATTCTTGGGAGCCCCGCTCCCAACTGATGATCGACGTACTGGGTCTGGTTGAGCAGTACGACGCGGCACATCCTGTGCCGCAGAAGGACCGCCGGAGAAAGTCTTCCCGGCACGGTCGTAAAGGGATTTCAGGTTGTCAATCCCTTCGTACATCTCAGCAGAGACACGTACGCGCCACCACGGGCTAGTAAGGAGGTAAGCCTCCTTAGGTGCTCGTGCAGAGTTGTTCACACAACATGGGCACGAGTCTCCCCAAGAGAGGCAGGGTAATCCTTTCTCCCTTGACAGACGATGCAGCTTATAGCGTGCACCTGTCGGGGTTCGCTTTTCAAGCTAATCACGAGCTTTGATAAGTTTGTCGTTCCAAGCGTCACGACCTACATCCTCAAGGTTATGGATGTAGGCGTTCCACGCCTGAAGCAGTGAGGGACCATCACGCTTGTGATTCTCACTGTACCATCGATGTCTAAAGAAAGCATCGATGAAGAATTCATGTTCAGCGCGATAGTTTTTCGCGCTGGGGTCAAGGTGATGGATCTCTTGACGAATCGAACAATCGTGTTCGATAACGATCACTCGTCGTCGCCGACAAGTGATCCATGACGGATTTTGGAGGCATCCATGCCTTCTTTTCTGGAGCGAGACGCAAGACATTGCGGTCCCGCTCTTCCTGCGATGTGCCGACAGAAGTACTGGCACCTCGTTGCGAAGTGGTGTCCATAGGAGAACCGGCACCACTGTTAGCGCCCGAGTCTCGCGACCTCGAGCGCCTTCGCTTCGGCGATGGTTCATCTGATTCATCAGATGAACCAAAGATGCTGCGACGCAAAGCATCGTCCATGCCACGCTTGGCAGGCGGCTTAGATTCAATCGCCGTCGATACGGATCCGTCATCCGTATCAGGAGAGTACGAGACACCGAGCTCGTACTCTGTGAAGACACGAGTGTCTTCATGACCAGCGCCTGCATCACCAAGTGACACAGGCTGGGTCGCTTCAGCAACCGATGAGACATCAGTTGCTGTTGTTTCTGCTTCGGCGTCCGCACAGAGACGTGCGGACGCGCTCTCGGCGGCCTTGCTCGCGCATCGCATGGGCTTGTTAACCATGCGATGAGATGTTGGAAAGTGGACGCGGACCAACAAGTGCAAACCCTGTCCCAAACGATTTGGAACGAGTATCCATTTAGTCAATCAGTCACTAAAGTGACTGATGGTTAAGGGGGGGTGATGTAACGGGGTGAATCGTTACATACCAATTTATAAGAAATTGTTAATAGAATATAACTATAAGAGTTGTATTCTCAGAATATTGTCATACGGACAAATATTCTGTAGCACTTACGAGTAGTTCCTAATTGGTTGATATAGGCCATTATATCAACCAACGAAGACGCGCCACGACAGACGCACGCAATGAGTGGTGAGCAGATAGTTGATTTACACATTTGTATTTAGACATAGTTAGATGAAGATAAATAGTGATTTATTGCAGACATTAACTATACTAAATACAGTTCTACTTTTTACTCTAACCAAGTACTCGCTTCTTCTGACCGTCTTCCTCTGCACGTACCAGTGTACGTGAAGTTACGAGGCACCGCCTTATTCTGTCATCAGAATAAGTAGCTTGTACTGTCACCAGTACAAGCTTCAGGGTGCCCCCGTTACAGCGCTCCAGATTTACCCCCTCTGCCTCCTCAACAAGTACAAGCTTATTACGCAGCCCAAAGGCGACAGCTTTCTGTGCAGGCGACGATGGCTCCAGCAGGAGAGTACACTGCCATTCCTCAGCATGGGTACGTTGCGGAGCAGTGGATTCGACTCGAACAAGCACAAGCGCAGAGGGTTCCAGCTGAAGAAACTGATGTCCCTGTTGCATTCGTCTGGACGGCTTCATTTGTCATTCAAGCGACTCCCTGCCGCACGAACCGCACCTTGCCAAAACGCCTTACAGACCCAGTTGCTCGCTCCCTGTGATCGTATTCTAAATGCGAGTAAGGCAAATTCGGCGGACACCTAGCGAGAGGCAATTTGATGTCTCCTCCTTCTATCAATTGGAAGCATTCAGTTCCTCTGGTTAAAGGTCGATCGGTCGAAGACGACGGGGGGATTGTCCCGGCGACTGAAGATGTGCTCTATGACATGCGACACAACTACGAGAGCTGCTCAACACATTGCTGCTGCGCTGTGCAGGAGACGACACTGTGTACGGTAGTTCTATCGCTGGCACAAAGGCTCGAACAGTCGGATGTGCCGAGTCCTTGTCACTCAACAGTGCAGGCTTCGAGGGCCCTCTCAGACGGTAATCAAGGCCGGACAACGTCTTGGGTCTGACGTTTTCTCTCCTTAGATGTGCTGTAGCACCGCCACCGCCTTGGCTCCTCGCACTACCACTCCAATCACACTAGGCTCGACTTCAGCTCGTCTCACAGGTTGAGCTTTACGACGACAACGGCCATGTGTCGTCAGGTGGCCTGATACTCCTACGAACACAGCACAGCAAACACGACACACCTCCTGGCACCGGCACGTCGTGATCTCTGGAGACGTGGGAAAAGCGACGACACAGGAGTAGTCAGAGGGTATCGAGAGCTTCGTTTGAGCCAACGGCAGCGCTAGCAATAGAAGGAGCTGCAACATATCCGGTGTCTTGATGGAGAGAAGATGATGTGGAACACAATGCACGGAGGAGAGGAAGGTAGGGGGGTGCACAAGCGTGAACAGAAACCACAAATCGGGGCCATGTTAGGAAATGGTTGGTTATCCAGTCTAGCACAACGTCACCAGTCCCACATCGATCCTGCTTGTCGCACTCTAGCGTTTAGACTGGCCGGAAGGTCAGGCCAGACCAGGAGAAGAAATCGATGCTTCTGCTCCATGTCCATATCGCCGATCAACATTGACCACGCCTCTTTCACGGGAATGGCAAGGTCCGAATTCTCTTCATGCAAGAGATCAACGAAGCGAATCCACGCAGCTGCAGAATGGTGCAACACACAGAGCACAACACCTTGCAAACCCAGCATGTCGGCTACTTCCACGGGAGGCAACTTTAACGCCTTCAACTCGTTCGCCATCCAATTTAAAGCCGCAACGCCCGGCGCGGATGAGACGCTTTCAGCTAGTTTGTTGAACATCGAGATTACGTTATGCTTGGAGTCGTCGCTGTCGATGTTGTAGATCGAGATAAGCTGCTTGAACACTTCAGCGTCCGAACGTCTGCCCTTGAACGACTCGTAAATTCGGTCAGCGGAGATACTCCCAATACGTTCATCATACAAGAAAGCATACCTCAACCAGGCGTCGAGCACCTTAGGACTGACCTCCGGTCTAGCAAGGCTCAGGTTTTCTGCCACATCAGTAGGGTGGACTGGACGCTTGAACCATTCTTCCAGCTTCCGATAGAGGTACGTGTCCTGATTGAGCTTCAGGTCGTTGACGTAATTATAAAGCTTAACCAGCGCATCCATTCCCATCGCTCGCTCCTCTGTGCGCTCTCCTTTGTGGTTTGATGAAGGAGCTATCCAGTCTTTCGACCCCACACTGCGATGAGTAGTCGACGCGGTCATGCCCACAGGCGAGCCCTGGGACTGCAAACGAATCGGCGAGTTGGATGTCGTGTCGTCACTGCGTGAAGCAGTTACCGGGTTGCCGCTGGCGATCGATTCGGCACTTTCACCGAAAAAGGTGCCGGGGACTGCGAGTAGAAGGCAGAGCTTATGCATACAAGTGGCTCGGGTGGGTGGGTGGGTGGCTGCGAGTGAATTGTACAATGAGGACTGCGGGCGTGATTTCGTCGAGATGCGGTGCGGAGACTGATCCTCATCAGCCTGGCCGCCACTCCCCGATCGACAGCCAGCTGCAACCACAGACAGAGACGAGACTCTTTGAAGAGCCAGGAAACTGATCCTCTTGCCCGGGACGGCAAGTCACGCACAGTGGGGTCAAGGCAAAAAGGTGAGAGTGTAACGGGGTGAATCGCTACATAACAATTTATAAGAAATTGTTAGTAGAATATAACTATAAGAGTTATATTCTCAGAATATTGTCATAAGGACAAATATTCTGTAGCACTTACGAGTAGTTCCTAATTGGTTGATATAGGCCATTATATCAACCAACGAAGACGCGCCACGACAGACGCACGCAATGAGTGGTGAGCAGATAGTTGATTTACACATTTGTATTTAGACATAGTTAGATGAAGATAAATAGTGATTTCTTGCAGACATTAACTATTATAAATACAGTTCTACTTTTTACTCTAACCGAGTACTCGCTTCTTCTTACCGTCTTCCTCTGCACGTACGAGTGTACGTGAAGTTACGAGGCACCGCCTTATTCTGTCATCAGAATAAGTAGCTTGTACTGTCACCAGTACAAGCTTCAGGGTGCCCCGTTACACCTGGTAGCACTTCGTAGTCCGTCCAAGGACCGCGTTCACATCCAACATGAATATGTTAGATGATGAAGATGACCAAAGCTTTCACGCTACGCGTGACGGCTACTCACGTTTGAGCGATGTTGAATGGGATGCGGTTAAACGGATGGGTTCAACCATGGGCATCCATGTTGTTACCGTCATGCTAGAGGCGCTCAATAGAGATGCCCAACATGCTACTATCGCCAAGTTCATTCAAAATGAACTTGACGCTGAACGCGAGAAAGTAGCCTTGCTTCACCAACAAGGTTCTCAACAATCAGAGTTGTTGAGAAAACAGGGTGCTCAACAGTTTGAACTGTTGAGACAGCAGCAGGCTGCTGCTGGTGGGTCGATGCACTCGCGTCGACCCGAGACCTTGAAGATTGACATCTCCAAGTATAGGGGAGTCGAAGAGGACTCCCTCTTGAGATGGTTCGTCGAATTGGATGACGCCATAAGGGCGCGTCGCATCGACGACGGGGATATGCAAGTTGCATTTGCCCAGTCAAATCTAGCAGGACGTGCCAAGACTTGGGCACTGGGGCTCAAGTTGCACGACCCACATGCGTTTGGGTCGTTGGAAGTCTTCAAGTCGCGGCTCAGACAACCGTTTGAACCGCCTAGAGCTGAGTTCGAAGCTCGAAATGAACTCTTGAGGCTCAAACAGGGTAAGCGTGATGTGCACGCTTATGCACAACATATACGACATCTCACGAGTTGTAAAAGTTCCAACTTGGAAGATGAACACGCGTTGGCTTCGGTGTTCATGCAGGGTCTTGCGGATGGTCCCGTCAAGACTCACCTGTTCCGGCTTGAACTAGATTCACTAGAACAAGCCATTTCCATTGCGGAGCAGGAAGACTTCAGTCTGAGACAGGCTTGCGCCAGCTCGACATCATATCGTCAACCGAGACGATATGACAGCGGAGGTCCAGAGCCGATGGAACTCTGTTATGTAGAGAGCGAGAAGGCTCGCTCTACAGGCTACAAGAAGTTTCAGAAATGCAACAGATGTCAAAAGACAGGACACTACGCTTACGAGTGTAGTGCCCCTCGTCCAGTGTCTCGCAACACTGGGCGTAGTGACCGTCCACCCATGAGAAAGGGGCAGGGACGCGGGTCCGCTGTTGGTGCAAAGACGCAACAACGGGATGGACCGTCAAAAAACGGACAGGATCAGTAGGTGCGGAGCACCCTACTGGTCCAGCAACGTCAAGAGAATTTGTAGGCCTCTTGATGAAGGTTGCTCCCAACACACAAACATTGTGCGCTGCTGCTCTAGGTAATGAGATCTCACTCATTACCTTGAAACTCGAAGTGACGAATAAGTTGTCCCTTCGAGCTCTAATCGATTGTGGGGCGTCTAACAATTTTGTGCGACGCCAATCGCTAGAAGATGGTCACTTTAAGTTCAGTGAATGTGACACACCTCCTACGAGGATGACGGTACGTCTTGCGACAGGCGCATCCGTAACCGTCATGAAGCGTATAGTGAAGATCCACTATACGCTAGAAGATACCCAATATGACGATGACTTTACCGTATTGGATTTGGATGACAAATTTGATGTCATCCTTGGAATACCGTGGCTCAGAAGGTACGAACCACGAGTAAACTGGCAACATCGAACAGTAACGATGCCTGCCGCTTGTTCATCAGATGGCCATCTGATGAACGTTTTGGAGCGTCCACAAGCGTGTGGATGTACTACGAGTAAGTGTGATGGCCTCACTTGTGGTACGGTCGTTAGTACGACTGCACAAAACCTTAGTGTGACAAACGGTTACACTTCGGAGCAAAGTTCCGGCGGCTGTGAGGAAACACAGGCTGCGCCGAAGGTCCACCACTCGAATAAGTCGAGTGGACCGGGACAAAGATGTATCCCTAGCGGGGAACATCTAGAAGAGAAACAGTCGATCGCTCGGGTTAAGCGAAACGATAATCCTAGATCGACTGGAGAGTCTTTCGTAGAGGATCTCGCTGTGGTTGCGCAACCCCAGCTAGAGGAAGTAAAGGGAATAAGTCCCAAGATTACAAATACGGCGGAAATAAGTTCCCCAAAACCCGCGGAAATAAGTCCCCGGGAAGACAAAGGAATAAGTCCTTCGAAGCCTGAGGGAATAAGTCCCCAGGAAATGACAGAGACATTGAATGTCATAGTCAATAACGGATCAAGTGTAGGCGCTTATACACTTGATCTGATTGCGCCTCCGAAGTTGACTTCGGAGATCACTCAGTTGCCAACGCTCGAACATAAAAGGTTCTTGCGTGATCTGCGTAGTGGCAAAGTCAAGCAGATCTGCGTACTAGTCGCTGACGACGAGTGTGTAGCCGACATAAGGTCAGCAACAGTGTTTACTGAGAACGAGAGAGTTCTCAGTAGTTTATCTATGGACGAGAGTGTCCTAGATGAAAAGACACGAATTGAGCGATATGACTCCCAATCCTGGGAATCGCTCAAGACAAATCCTCTCTATGAAGATTCGGTTGAATTCAAGGAATATTCCCTGAAACTGTTCCGTGCGACTTACCGAAGGATAAAGGTATTCGACACGAGGTCGAGCTTAAACCAGGCTCGAAGTACTGTGTCATGAAGCAGTGGCCACTGCCTCGTGAACAAGTACTTGCGATCGACAAGTTCTTTGCCGATCGTTTAGCTGCGGGCCATATGAGGGAATCAACTTCCCCACATAGCTCTCCGACCTTCTGTGTGCGAAAAGCAACAGGACGGTGGCGGATAGTGCACGCGTTCAACAAATTGAACGCTGCAACGGTACCGGCTCAGACGCCGATACCGAGGAAGGACGTAATCATTGATGGTGTGTCAAAGAGTACCATCTTTTCGTCCATGGATTTGATGGATGGCTTCTATCAAATCCTTATGCGAGAACGGTATATACCCTATACCGCAGTTAGAACGCCTAGCGGCATGCTCTGGGAATGGCTAGTAATGCCACAAGGGCTCAGTAATGCCCCGGCCACGTTCAACAGATGTGTATCACATCTGTTGAGACCAGTACGAGAATTCGCGCCGAGTTATTTCGATGACGTATTCATCCATAGTCGGGCTATGGATGGAACGTCGGACGTTGAGGTTCACAGGTACCACGTCCGACAGGTTCTTACAATCATGCGAAAGCACCAATTGTATGCAAACCTCAAGAAGTGTATATTTGCAGCAAGCGAAATACCACTTCTTGGGTGCATCGTTGGTAAGAACGGTGTACGTCCTGATCCCGAAAAGATTAAGGCGATCACCGACTGGCCTGTGCCAGTTGATGTCAAAGGTCTTCGAAAATTCCTTGGGCTAGCGGCGTATTTGCACAAGTATTCACGCAATTACGCCGAGATGACTGTACACCTCTCTCGTTTGTTGAAAAAGAACGAAAGGTGGTTATGGAACGCTGAATGTCAGCGCTCCTTTGAGGGTATCAAGCAGAGCTTGATACAATCCCCAGTCCTAGCAACAGCCGATCAGGACAGGCCATTTCATGTGGTCTGTGATGCCAGCGATTTCGCAATCGGCTGTGCATTAATGCAGTACGATCTTGAAGGCGTTGAACGCGTCGTCTGCTATCAGTCGCGTCAGCTGCAACCAGATGATCGGAACTATCCAGTGCATGACAAGGAACTCCTTGCCATGAAATATGCACTCGCGAAGTTCAGAGTCTATCTCTTAGGAGATATACCCTTCATTGTTTGCACTGACCATGCGTCATTACGCACGGCAGTGAACAGCCCGCACCTTTCACAACGAATGGCGCGGTGGTTGTCATTCTTTGCAGAATACAACTTACGGTCGAGTACAAACCAGGACGACTTAATATCGTCGCTGATGCACTCTCACGTCGTCCCGACTTTGAACCAGTCGTGAAACCCAACAGTGATACAGTCACTGTTGCGGTTATGACGTCCTCAGTCCCATCTACAGCGTTGTATGATGATGTGAGGCGGGCATACGCCCAAGATGGTGAGATTGTGAAGTTGTTGACACATCTCTCACAACCATCTCGAGAATCGTTGAAACGATTGTCGTCTGCGTATCGATCTGCATCAGATCGATACACTACTCGCGACGGTTTACTGTATTATACAGCCATTACTAATGACACACCACGTGTTGTCATTCCAGATGATACTGATCTGCGTTTGCGGATCATGTTCGAGTATCACGATGCTCCTATAGGAGGACTTCGTGGCCGGGAGAAAACATATCTCACGGTGAGTCGAGACTTTTACTGGCCCCGCCAGTATCAGTTTGTGCGAAAGTATGTTCGCGCATGCGAAGTCTGCCAACGAGTGAAGTCAAGTCCTTCACTGCGTGCACCTTTACAGCCTCTACCGGTTCCGGCTGAGTGCTGGGAATCCATCTCAATGGATTTCGTCTTCGGGTTACCCAAAGACGCACGCGGGAATACGGGTATTCTCGTATTTGTTGACAGATTCAGCAAAATGGTACACCTCGTGGCTGTACCAGAGACAATCACGGCAAGTGGCTGTGCTTGTGTCTTTATTGACACCATCTTCCGACTTCATGGGTTGCCCCGTGAACTCGTATCAGACAGAGATCCACGATTCACTGCTGATTTCTGGCGTCCCGTGTTCAAATCACTCGGAACACGCTTGAAGATGTCGACATCTGATCATCCAGAGTCAGATGGTCAGACGGAACGTGCCAATCGTGTCCTTGAAGAGATACTTCGAGGATACGTACACTCCTTTAAGAGTTGGAGTGAGTTTTTGCCAATGGTAGAGTTTGCCATCAACAACTCGGTGCATGCGTCCACGACACATACACCGTTTTACGTGAATGGCTTGCGCCATCCGCGTGTACCCATCTTACTAGAGTGTAACTCTGGTTTAAAGGGGGGAGGGACTCGCGCGAGCAAAAACCGATTTGGTTCACGCTCATCAAGCTCTGACGAAGAGGTCATTGCGTTTGATGCCAATATCGATAACATCGATATCGAAGAAGATGATGCCAGTGAGAGTGCGGAAGCCCTCACTGAAGAAAAGGTTGATGTTGCTGCAGTGCGCTCACAGCGCACTGAAGATAACGAGTCATCAGATGAGTTCATGCTGGCTCGTGAAACGGTAATATGTTTTGTGCAAGATTCCATCTCCGAAGCGGTGGATAAGCAAAAGCAAAACGCTGACAAGAATGGAAGGGCAAACACTCTTTTATTTAATAAAGGTGACTTAGTCCTACTATCTACGGTTAATCTACCAAAGCATGTAGTGACTAACTTGGGTAGTAGTAAACTACTACCCAAGTACATCGGCCCGTTTCGTGTATTGCACCGCCTAGGCAATGCATACACGATCGAGTTACCACGTAAGATGCGAACACATCCCACGTTTTACGTTGGTCGGCTTAAGCCGTACCATCAGTACGCTGCTTCTTTCGACGAAGAACGCCCTTGCGCTCAAGCATCTCGCAGAGAGCCTTGTGCTCCCCATGGTGGGCATCGACAAGGGTCTGAAGAGCAGTAATCTCATCCCGAGGCCGATCAACAATCCCACGAGCTACCCTTAGCTCTTCACGAAGAGATGTCAGAGCTCTCTCGTTCTCAAGCTGAGCAAAGGCAAACTCAGCTCGATGCTCCGAGACAGTGTCGGCCATTTGGAGACGCCTGTCCCGCTCATGTTCGAGATCGTTGCGTAACTCTTGCGTTACGCGATCAAAGAAGCTCTCGGGAACACACGGATCCCCATGATCGTGTGGAGAGCGTCTTTCCTCCTCCTCCACCTCCATTAGAGGACTCTCGCGGTGGCCAGCGCTATCTAGTTGAGCAGCTGTTGAACCACCGCGACGTGAACGGACGTCGAACGAGTTATCTCGTCCGGTGGCGCGACTATCCCCCGTCCTGGGATACTTGGGATCCCCGCTCCCAACTGATAGTTGACGTACTGGGTCTGGTTGAGCAGTACGACGCGGCACATCCTGTGCCGCAGAAGGACCGCCAGAGAAAGTCTTCCCGGCACGGTCGTAAAGGGATTTCAGGTTGTCAATCCCTTTGTACATCTCAGTAGAGATACGTACGCGCCACCACGGGCTAGTAAGGAGGTAAGCCTCCTTAGGTGCTCGTGCAGAGTTGTCCACACAACATGGGCACGAGTCTCCCCAAGAGAGGCAGGGTAATCCTTTCTCCCTTGACAGACGATGCAGCTTGTAGCGTGCACCTGTCGGGGTTCGCTTTTCAAGCTAATCACGAGCTTTGATAAGTTTGTCGTTACAAGCGTCACGACCTACATCCTCAAGGTTATGGATGTAGGCGTTCCACGCCTAAAGCAGTGAGGGACCATCACGCTTGTGATTCCCACTGTACCATCGATGTCTAAAGAAAGCGTCGATGAAGAATTCATTCTCAGCGCGATAGTTTTTCGCGCTGGGGTCAAGGTGATGGATCCTTGACGAATCGAACAACCGTGTTCGATAACGATCACTCGTCGTTGCCGACAAGTGATCCACGACAGATTTGGGAGGCATCCATGCCTTCTTCTCAGGAGCGAGACGCAACACATTGCGGTCCCGCTCTTCCTGCGATGTGCCGACAGAAGTACTGGCACCTCGTTGCGAAGTGGTGTCCATAGGAGAACCGACACCACTGTTAGCGCCCGAGTCTCGCGACCTCGAGCGCCTTCGCTTCGGCGATGGTTCATCTGATTCATCAGATGAACCAAAGATGCTGCGACGCAAAGCATCGTCCATGCCACGCTTGGCAGGCGGCTTGGATTCAATCGCCGTCGATACGGATCCGTCATCCGTATCAGGAGAGTACGAGACACCGAGCTCGTACTCTGTGAAGACACGAGTGTCTTCATGACCAGCGCCTGCATCACCAAGTGACACAGGCTGGGTCGCTTCAGCAACCGATGAGACATCAGTTGCTGTGGTTTCTGCTTCGGCGTCTGCACAGAGACGTGCGGACGCGCTCTCGGCGGCCTTGCTCGCGCGTCGCATGGGCTTGTTAACCATGCGATGAATTGTTGGAAAGTGGACTTGGACCAACAAGTGCAAACCCTGTCCCAAACGATTTGGAACGAGTATCCATTTAGTCAATCAGTCACTAATGTGACTGATGGTTAAGGGGGGGTGATGTAACGGGGTGAATCGTTACATAACAATTTATAAGAAATTGTTAATAGAATATAACTATAAGAGTTATATTCTCAGAATATTGTCATAAGGACAAATATTCTGTAGCACTTACGAGTAGTTCCTAATTGGTTGATATAGGCCATTATATCAACCAACGAAGACGCGCCACGACAGACGCACGCAATGAGTGGTGAGCAGATAGTTGATTATTTACATTTGTATTTAGGCATAGTTAGATGAAGATAAATAGTGATTTCTTGCAGACATTAACTATTATAAATACAGTTCTACTTTTTACTTTAACCAAGTACTCGCTTCTTCTTACCGTCTTCCTCTGCACGTACGAGTGTACGTGAAGTTACGAGGAACCGCCTTATTCTGTCATCAGAATAAGTAGCTTGTACTGTCACCAGTACAAGCTTCAGGGTGCCCCCGTTACAGACGCCGAAGCAGAAACCACAGCAACTGATGTCTCATCGGTTGCTGAAGCGACCCAGCCTGTGTCACTTGGTGATGCAGGCGCTGGTCATGAAGACACTCGTGTCTTCACAGAGTACGAGCTCGGTGTCTCGTACTCTCCTGATACGGATGACGGATCCGTATCGACGGCGATTGAATCCAAGCCGCCTGCCAAGCGTGGCATGGACGATGCTTTGCGTCGCAGCATCTTTGGTTCATCTGATGAATCAGATGAACCATCGCCGAAGCGAAGGCGCTCGAGGTCGCGAGACTCGGGCGCTAACAGTGGTGTCGGTTCTCCTATGGACACCACTTCGCAACGAGGTGCCAGTACTTCTGTCGGCACATCGCAGGAAGAGCGGGACCGCAATGTGTTGCGTCTCGCTCCTGAGAAGAAGGCATGGATGCCTCCCAAATCTGTCGTGGATCACTTGTCGGCGACGACGAGTGATCGTTATCGAACACGGTTGTTCGATTCGTCAAGGATCCATCACCTTGACCCCAGCGCGAAAAACTATCGCGCTGAGAATGGAATTCTTCATCGACGCTTTCTTTAGACATCGATGGTACAGTGGGAATCACAAGCGTGATGGTCCCTCACTGCTTTAGGCGTGGAACGCCTACATCCATAACCTTGAGGATGTAGGTCGTGACGCTTGTAACGACAAACTTATCAAAGCTCGTGATTAGCTTGAAAAGCGAACCCCGACAGGTGCACGCTACAAGCTGCATCGTCTGTCAAGGGAGAAAGGATTACCCTGCCTCTCTTGGGGAGACTCGTGCCCATGTTGTGTGAACAACTCTGCACGAGCACCTAAAGAGGCTTACCTCCTTACTAGCCCGTGGTGGCGCGTACGTATCTCTACTGAGATGTACGAAGGGATTGACAACCTGAAATCCCTTTACGACCGTGCCGGGAAGACTTTCTCCGGCGGTCCTTCTGCGGCACAGGATGTGCCGCGTCGTACTGCTCAACCAGACCCAGTACGTCAACCATCAGTTGGGAGCGGGGCTCCCAAGTATCCCAGGACGGGGGATAGTCGCGCCACCGGACGAGATAACTCGTCCGACGTCCGTTCACGTCGCGGTGGTTCAACAGCTGCTCAACTAGATAGCGCTGGCCACCGCGAGAGTCCTCTAATGGAGGTGGAGGAGGAGGAAAGACGCTCTCCACACGATCATGGGGATCCGTGTGTTCCCGAGAGCTTCTTTGATCGCGTAACGCAAGAGTTACGCAACGATCTCGAACATGAGCGGGACAGGCGTCTCCAAATGGCCGACACTGTCTCGGAGCATCGAGCTGAGTTTGCCTTTGCTCAGCTTGAGAACGAGAGAGCTCTGACATCTCTTCGTGAAGAGCTAAGGGTAGCTCGTGGGATTGTTGATCGGCCTCGGGATGAGATTACTGCTCTTCAGACCCTTGTCGATGCCCACCATGGGGAGCACAAGGCTCTCTGCGAGATGCTTGAGCGCAAGGGCGTTCTTCATCGAAAGAAGCAGCGTACTGATGGTACGGCTTAAGCCGACCAACGTAAAACGTGGGATGTGTTCGCATCTTACGTGGTAACTCGATCGTGTATGCATTGCCTAGGCGGTGCAATACACGAAACGGGCCGATGTACTTGGGTAGTAGTTTACTACTACCCAAGTTAGTCACACTACATGCTTTGGTAGATTAACCGTAGATAGTAGGACTAAGTCACCTTTATTAAATAAAAGAGTGTTTGCCCTTCCATTCTTGTCAGCGTTTTGCTTTTGCTTATCCACCGCTTCGGAGATGGAATCTTGCACAAAACATATTACCGTTTCACGAGCCAGCATGAACTCATCTGATGACTCGTTATCTTCAGTGCGCTGTGAGCGCACTGCAGCAACATCAACCTTTTCTTCAGTGAGGGCTTCCGCACTCTCACTGGCATCATCTTCTTCGATATCGATGTTATCGATATTGGCATCAAACGCAATGACCTCTTCGTCAGAGCTTGATGAGCGTGAACCAAATCGGTTTTTGCTCGCGCGAGTCCCTCCCCCCTTTAAACCAGAGTTACACTCTAGTAAGATGGGTACACGCGGATGGCGCAAGCCATTCACGTAAAACGGTGTATGTGTCGTGGACGCATGCACCGAGTTGTTGATGGCAAACTCTACCATTGGCAAAAACTCACTCCAACTCTTAAAGGAGTGTACGTATCCTCGAAGTATCTCTTCAAGGACACGATTGGCACGTTCCGTCTGACCATCTGACTCTGGATGATCAGATGTCGACATCTTCAAGCGCGTTCCGAGTGATTTGAACACGGGACGCCAGAAATCAGCAGTGAATCGTGGATCTCTGTCTGATACGAGTTCACGGGGCAACCCATGAAGTCGGAAGATGGTGTCAATAAAGACACAAGCACAGCCACTTGCCGTGATTGTCTCTGGTACAGCCACGAGGTGTACCATTTTGCTGAATCTGTCAACAAATACGAGAATACCCGTATTCCCGCGTGCGTCTTTGGGTAACCCGAAGACGAAATCCATTGAGATGGATTCCCAGCACTCAGCCGGAACCGGTAGAGGCTGTAAAGGTGCACGCAGTGAAGGACTTGACTTCACTCGTTGGCAGACTTCGCATGCGCGAACATACTTTCGCACAAACTGATACTGGCGGGGCCAGTAAAAGTCTCGACTCACCGTGAGATGTGTTTTCTCTCGGCCACGAAGTCCTCCTATAGGAGCATCGTGATACTCGAACATGATCCGCAAACGCAGATCAGTATCATCTGGAATGACAACACGTGGTGTGTCATTAGTAATGGCTGTATAATACAGTAAACCGTCGCGAGTAGTGTATCGATCTGATGCAGATCGATACGCAGACGACAATCGTTTCAACGATTCTCGAGATGGTTGTGAGAGATGTGTCAACAACTTCACAATCTCACCATCTTGGGCGTATGCCCGCCTCACATCATCATACAACGTTGTAGATGGGACTGAGGACGTCATAACCGCAACAGTGACTGTATCACTGTTGGGTTTCACGACTGGTTCAAAGTCGGGACGACGTGAGAGTGCATCAGCGACGATATTAAGTCGTCCTGGTTTGTACTCGACCGTAAGTTGTATTCTGCACAGAATGACAACCACCGCGCCATTCGTTGTGAAAGGTGCGGGCTGTTCACTGCCGTGCGTAATGACGCATGGTCAGTGCAAACAATGAAGGGTATATCTCCTAAGAGATAGACTCTGAACTTCGCGAGTGCATATTTCATGGCAAGGAGTTCCTTGTCATACACTGGATAGTTCCGCTCAGCTGGTTGCAGCTGACGCGACTGATAGCAGACGACGCGTTCAACGCCTTCAAGATCGTACTGCATTAATGCACAGCCGATTGCAAAATCGCTGGCATCACAGACCACATGAAATGGCCTGTCCTGATCGGCTGTTGCTAGGACTGGGGATTGTATCAAGCTCTGATTGATACCATCAAAGGAGCGCTGACATTCAGCGTTCCATAACCACCTTTCGTTCTTTTTCAACAAACGAGAGAGGTGTACAGTCATCTCGGCGTAATTGCGTGAATACTTGTGCAAATACGCCGCTAGCCTAAGAAATTTTCGAAGACCTTTGACATCAACTGGCACAGGCCAGTCGGTGATCGCCTTAATCTTTTCGGGATCAGGACGTACACCGTTCTTACCAACGATGCACCCAAGAAGTGGTATTTCGCTTGCTGCAAATATACACTTCTTGAGGTTTGCATACAATTGGTGCTTTCGCATGATTGTAAGAACCTGTCGGACGTGGTACCTGTGAACCTCAACGTCCGACGTTCCATCCATAGCCCGACTATGGATGAATACATCATCGAAATAACTCGGCGCGAATTCTCGTACTGGTCTCAACAGATGTGTATCACATCTGTTGAACGTGGCAGGGGCATTACTGAGCCCTTGTGGCATTACTAGCCATTCCCAGAGCATGCCGCTAGGCGTGCTAACTGCGGTATAGGGTATATCCCGTTCTCGCATAAGGATTTGATAGAAGCCATCCATCAAATCCATGGACGAAAAGATGGTACTCTTTGACATACCATCAATGATTACGTCCTTCCTCGGTATCGGCGTCTGAGCCGGTACCGTTGCAGCGTTCAATTTGTTGAACGCGTGCACTATCCGCCACCCTCCTGTTGCTTTTCGCACACAGAAGGTCGGAGAGCTATGTGGGGAAGTTGATTCCCTCATATGGCCCGCAGCTAAACGATCGGCAAAGAACTTGTCGATCGCAAGTACTTGTTCACGAGGCAGTGGCCACTGCTTCATGACACAGTACTTCGAGCCTGGTTTAAGCTCGACCTCGTGTCGAATACCTTTATCCTTCGGTAAGTCGCACGGAACAGTTTCAGGGAATATTCCCTGAATTCAACCGAATCTTCATAGAGAGGATTTGTCTTGAGCGATTCCCAAGATTGAGAGTCATATCGCTCAATTCGTGTCTTTTCATCTAGGACACTCTCGTCCATAGATAAACTACTGAGAACTCTCT